ACTTCTATACCTTGCCCAGTGAACCTTTTCCATTTGGTTGTTCCTCAGTTGTATTCATTATAATACACCAATGGACATAAGTAAAGTCCTTTCCTAATTTCTGTGAGCCATTCTAGCAACCTACCAAACCTAAGTGGAGGCGCTGGGAACCCCAAAATATGTAGCCAAGTGGAGAGAAATGTAGATAGCTTGGCATCCCATTTTTGGCTGGTGTACAAAGTGGGCACAGTCTGGTGAGCCTGAGACATTAGCCTGTGAGTTCAGTCCCTAAGTCCAGGTAGGCAGTGTCAGACTTTAACAGGAGTGACACCTTTCCTCACCTGTCATAAGGGTCATGGCACATATCTCTCTAAAAAAGACCAGTTAAGAGCAAAAAGTAACATTTATTTATTTAATCAAAATATTTGTTTTGTTTTTTGAGACAGGGTCTTGCTATATAGTTCAGGCTGGCCTTGAGCTCACTATGTAGCTCAGGCTGGCCTCAAATCTCAAGGTGATCCTCCTGCCTCAGCCTCCTGAGTGCTGGGGTTACAGGAATGCACCATTATGCCCAGCGCTTAGTCGAAAGTTTTTTGTGGATCTGCAGAATGAAGTTCCAAGGACACAGAACAATCTCCTTATCTTTATGCTTAAATGAAATGAAGCCTGGATAGCTGTGTAGGAAAGTGACAGGACAGAAAGCCTGCCATCTGAGGGAGAAACCCAGCAAGAGCTGTCTGTTCAGATTCTTCTGGACGTTCTTTGCTCCTGGGTATGGGCAGAGCCTCTTGTGAAACCGAGCTCTTACGACCTGCTATCTGACAGGATAAGCCAGGGAGTCACTATGGCAAGCTCCAGGACAGATGAATACTATTTTTAGGCTTAATGACTTACTTTGGGGAAAAATACTCTGGTTCCTATGAACCACCTTGAGGAAGACAAATTCTAGTGTCGGTGACTTGCCTTGGGGGAGAAAGGCGAGCAAGAGACAGGAGGACAGGAGGCGGTCAGAGAGGGACTGTGCTCTGTGCGGCCTGCTTCTGAAGCCTGAAGTGCCGTCCTTCGGATGTCATTTTTTCTGAGTCACAGCAAAGGATGGGACGGTCGGCTGGTGTCAGAGAATTGCCTGGCATGGCGGGAAATGACACATAATTGGCGTCAGAAAAACCACTGCACAGGGGCCGTATCGTGTTTTGTCTCCTCCTGCTCTCACCTGGCCCTTGTATAATCACGTTTCTTTGTAGAATGTGGTTAAGCCAGGAGAAACGGCAATTCTGCTGCCACTCTCTGACCTAAATTCAGGGCTAACCTTTGAAGTCAAGAAGTGGAGCTTATGTTTCCTCTGTACGAAAGCCTAACCAGGGAGGGCCAGACCTGCAGGCCTCTGACCCGGCTTCTGATTATAGTCTACCTCACACCTGGTTGGCAGTTCCAAGAGGCCAGGGAGCAGAGGGCCTCCATTCTAGAAGAGGGTGCTGCCCATTGGCTGTTATCAGCTCAAACTCACTGATTGATTGCCCTGACTGGCTGACCTCGGCTGAAATGTGTGTTGACCTTTGGGCCTGGACGCATGATGTCTACCAGAACCTTCTTATCTAGATTTTATCTAGACTGTAGTTCCTCTTGGCTGTTTATCAGTCAGTCCTTTCCTAGGGCACCAAAGTTGCTGCAATAAACTCACTCAGCCATTTTCACACAAAAAGGCCCCAGGAGCCTAGGCAAAGTCTCTGCTAAAAAGTCTTCCCATCCTGATCCCCGTGCCTGAGGTCCCAGCTGCTGCTTTCTCAGTGTTTGTTCTCAAATCCTGTCTCCCTCCTTGCCTTTTCTTCTCTGTCTCTTCTGAAGAAGAGACACGGCTTCTTCAATCACTTCCACCTGTCTTAGTCCAGTAGTGTTGCTATAACAAAAGTTCCTGAAGCTGGGCATGATGGCACACACCTGAAATGCCAGCGCTCGGGAAGCTGAGGCAGGAGGATCACCACGAATTCAAGGCCAGCGTGGGCTACAGAGTGAGTTCAAAGCCAATCTAAAGTACCTAATGAGACCCTATCTCAAAAAGAAAAAGTTCCTGAGACTTGGTGATGTATGAAGAAGAGAAATTTACTTCTTACAGTTCTGGAGGCTGTGAAATCTAAGATCAATGTAATGGTTTAGATCTAAAATGTTGCCCCAAAGTGCCATGTGTTCAGAGATAGGCCTTTTGGAAGGTAACTGGCTCGTGTGAGCATTGTACTCTCCGTGGATTAATCCACTGAAGAACTCAGAGCTGAGTGTGCTGCTGGAGGCGGTACCTGGTCGGAAGAGGCATGACCTGGAAACCCATTCCTCCCGGGCATCTCTTCCAAGACACAAACAGCCTAAGTTCTGAGCTGACTGACTTGAAGTTCTCCGTATTCCTCACAGGAGCTGGTTCTACAGGGTCTGGGGGAAGTTTGTGCCGCTTAAGATGTTTTGTCGACAAACTCACCACCGTCCAAGTGATTCAACCTGCACCACCACCCTCTGGGTATAATGGAGCCCTCTATCCAGAACGCTCTCAGACTTTCCCACTTTGATCGTCCAGGTTCCTAGCTTGAGTCCCCCACCGCCTGTCTTCTTCCAGGTCCCTGGAAATCATCTGACTCCTTCATGTTCTCCTTTGGGTGATGCCTAAAATGCATGTGACCTCCCAGGTATGCGCTCACACATAGCTGCCAGAGATCAGTACGCATCTAAACCACAGACTCAGATTCCCATTATGCGTGAAGGGCGGAAGGAATGAGGTAGCACTGCCCACACTCCAAGGTCCTAGGAAGTTATATATCTATGAACTATAAACCATTATAGACTGTGGCAGAATGCCACTTATTCCCCAATGCCTCTTTTTTAGACTACATTAACAGACTGCCTAGCATAAAGGTTCCGCATTTCTAAACTAACCCTGCAGCTCAATATGATTATTTGAATAAGCTCTTGTCAGTAAGTATGAAGAGGACACGGTACATGGAACTTGGAGGATGCTTCTGGAAAGGGGAGTTCACCTCCTCTCCCTGTCTGCTCTCCCTGTCTGCTGCTCTAAATACTGGTATGGAGTTAAGCCTCATTAGCCAAATGGGTTTCAGACTACGCCCTAGGGATGGAGAAACAGGAAGTTAGCAGGAGCGTGTGTCGCAGCTGACCACATACCAGAACTGCTGTACCAGTCTTGGCCCACTTGCTGAGAGAAGCCACCTGCCAGGACCCTGGCTACCCCGAACATACTTTTGGGCATACCAAAAATGCAATCCCTGATCACTCTTCAGCCAGCTGTTTCTCAAGGTTAAATTTGCAATGAGCAGCTGTGAGGGATGAGGTATCATCTTCCCCCATGCAAAGAATAGACTCGCGAAAGCCAGGCACGGTGGCGCATGCCTGTAATCCCAGCACTCGGGAGGCTGAGGCAGGAGGATCGTTTTGAGTTCAAGACCAGTCAGGGCTACAAAGTGAGCTCAAGGCCAGTCTGAACTCCATAGCAAGACCCTGTCTCAAAAAAAGACCAAAAAAAAAAAAAAAAGAATAGACTCGGGTACTACTTACTACGCAAAGCCGGGGGGGTTAGCTCAGTGGTAGAGAGCTTGTCTAGCGTGCATAAAGACCTGCATTCCATCTCCAGGGCTGCAAATAAATAACGTGGAGGAGCCCTACTGCAGTGCTGACCTCCTGTGTGCAGTACCTACTTTGGTCTCTCCTTGTTGCTGCTGTGTGTTTCAGCAGACATGGAGAACTAGCACCAGCACAACGAGGACACTTGTTGTTCTGTAGTGAGTAGAAAAAAAATAATCATTTACCTCAGACCCAGGAGTCTTGTGGTTTCGCCGGTATCCACGAAACACCAACCTGAAGCAGGGTAAAATCTCAGCACCTGACATACTTACTTATGTACTGTTTTTAGGAGAAAAATCAAGTTGCATCTCTCTTAAGCTAGTAATATTTTGGATTTCCCAGTCAATCTTCACTTATCAAAGAGGAGCTTCCAAGTTCGATTTTGGCAAAAAAAAAAAAAAAAAAAAAATTAAAAAAACATCGTACTTATTATATCTTGTTGGATATGTATCATCCAAAATAAGTCGAATATAATCCATTCAAAAGTAGGAAGTGTGTGCTAACTGAGACCTCTTGAGTCAGTGTCATGTGGGAATGAGGAAGACGACGCCGTGCATGATTCCCGTGTTGGTAGCAGACATGGGAGGCACTGCAGACTTGAATCATGCTGTCAAAATTATGAAAGTGAATTCTATACATGTGTATGAGTAAGACAGTTTTCCAAGGGAACTAAAGTCATATAAACTTTACTGTTTTGTGGGGAGCGAACCCTGGAGTGCTCTCCCATTGAGCTACATCCCTGTCCCCACCCCTTTTTTTTAGAGACAGGATCTAACTAAATTGCCCAGGTGATCTTGAACTCCTGCTTCAGGCTCCCAAGCAGCTGGGATTACAGGTGTGGGCCACCACTCCTGTTTTAAAATTTTAATTGAAAAAAAAAATAAATAAATAAAATAAAAATTAAAAAACTAAAAAAATAAAGAAGCTGGGTGTGGTGGCACACACCTGTAATCCCAGCACTCAGGAGGCTGAGGCAGGAGGATCATGGCAAGTTCAAGACCAGCCTGGGCTACAAAGTGAGCTCAAGGCCAGCCTGAACTGCATAGTGAGACCCTGTCTCAAAAAGACAAAAAGAATTTTAAAAAATTAAAATTTTAATTGTACTCAGGAGGGTGAGGCGACAACATTATGAGGTCAAGGCCAGTCTGGACGACATAGCAAATCCAAGCCCAGTGTGGGCTGCAGAGTGAGACCCTGTGTCAAAAAAAAAAAAAAACAACAAACCAAAAATTCCCCTTGTGTTGGGTCCTGAATGATTCTGGTATATTAAATTGTGCTCTAACTGGAAACGTATGTAATGCCAACAAAAAAGGTGAAGCAAATGAAAGCTATACAGCCAATTCTTTTACATGAAAACGCTTTTTTTTTTTACAAGTTCATGACTAGTTATGAGGAACATTTCATCTAGAAGTGATTTTTAAGGAAGCGAACTGAGTTTCCCCAAGTACAGAACCTTCCCTCTCAGAAGCAGGGATGTCAACAGGAGGACCAGAACCCTCTGTTTCTGGTGGTTTCTGCCGTTCGCAGGTGAGGTTTGAACTGCCTTTCACTTTAGTCTCTTGTTCTTCCACATTAAGCTTTTTTTGAGGATGGAGCTACAGCTTCCTAGTCATATTCATGGAGAAAACTACAAATCACGTTGGGTCTGTAGTTGAATCATTACCCTTCATATGGAGCCATTCGATCCCTTCTACGCTTTCTTCTTCTGCCAGGAGAGTTCTGGTCACAGTGGGTTTCTTCCTTGTGTGGCGTTTATATTTCAGCACTGTTTCTTTATTGCCTTCTGGATCCACATGTTCAACATTTTCTTCAAATATAACACAGGTTCCAAGAATATCTTCATACTCCCCAGCAAAGACACAGCTGTCCAACTGCAGAACGGGCCTCTCGGTGTCAATCCCCAAAAGCTTGCATTTATTTTCACATTTGGAAAGCAAGTCCGAATCAGTAATTCCTGACAGTTCCACCAGAAAAAACCGCTCTGCCTCCTCCTCCTCTTCTTCCTTCTCGTTCGCTGGATCCTCCAGCCTGGGTTCCTCGGTCTCATGGTCTGGTCACCAGTCACCCCACACAGGGCCACCATCTTCCCTATGGAGTAAAACAGTTCTGTAGCCCAGTGTGGTGGCGCACGCCTGTAATCCCAGCACTCGGGAGGCTGAGGCAGGAGGATCATTGCAAGTTCGAGACCAGCCTGCGCTTCAAAGTGAGCTCAAGGTCAGCCTGAACTGCATCGTGAGACTTTGTCTCAAAAAGACAAAAAAAAAGACAGTTCTGTCAAGTTGCCTGAATGCTATTTTCTCCCGCGAGTTATACTCATTCACCTATGCTTGTTAGTGTGAAATTCCATCTTTTGAGGAATGCAGTCCGGTTGAATTTGAGAGCAAATTTCTTGATCTACTTTTTCCTCCCCGTCCCTTCAAGCGTGCGTGGCAGCTCCTAGCTTTAGTAAAACAGCAGAGTCACTGAAAATATTGAGAAAGGCTCAGACAGATTTGCATCACTATCGCGTTAATCAGGAAGACTCAACCGACAAAGATAAAAAGAGAATAGATGTGAGGATGGAGCAACAGCTGCTACTGAACCGCTGACAAAATGTTGCAAGCGCCTCTGAGGTGCAGGTTGCGTCTGATGTGTCAAAATATTCTTAATGCTTAGACATAGTCCCTTGGCTCTTTTCTGGGTGCATATTGTTTCTGCGTGTTCAGCATCCATTCTCACTGTGGGAGTAGAACCCAGATTTTCCCTTGCGAGGTCCCGCATCCCTGCTCCCAATCCATACTGCTGTTGTGTTTATTTATTTACTTATTTATTTATGGTACCGGGACTCGAACTCAGGACCTTGCACTTGCCAGGCAGGTGCTTGTGCCACTGAGCTATATCCCCGGCCCCAATACTTTTGGATAAAGCTGACCCTACCCTATGAATGATCAAGTCATCAGTTTACAAAGCGTCTGACCCAAGCCTGCCCAGTGAGATTCAATCCAGAGACTTTTGCTCACACCATGGAAAATGAGAAGCTTGCTTTTTATTGAGGTTGCTATTACAGTGTACTATAAATCTAGGGGTACTGAAAATCATAGTTATAAAATGAAGTGCTGAAAATAAGGCAAATTTGATAAACAAAAGGAAAAGATATAAAAAGCAACAAACTTGCCAGGCCATGGTGGTGCACGCCTATAATCCCAGCACCTGGGAGACTGAGGCAGGAGGATCGTTGCAAGTTCGAGACCAGCCTGGGCTACAAAGTGAGCTCAAGGCCAGCCTGACCTGCATAGGGAGACCCTCTCTCAAAAAGAAAAAAAAAACCCAAACAAACAATAATTATGGAGCTGGGCATGGTGGCACATACCTATAATCTCAGCATTCAAGAGGCTGAGGTAGGACTGCCACAAGTTTGAGGCCAGCCTGGGCTATATAGTGAGTTCAAGGCCAGCCTGGACTACAAAATGAGACCCTGTCTCAAAAAAACCCTAAAATTCTATAGCCATTAAAAATTGTGCTGGGCTTGCCGGGTATGGGGCGCAAGCCTATAATCCCTACACTTGGGAGGCTGAGGCAGGAGGATGGTTGCAATTTGAGAATAGCCTGGGTTACAAAGTGAGCTCAAGACCAGCCTGAACTGCATAGTGAGACTTTGTCTCAAAAAGAGAAAAAAAAAAAAAAAAAAAGCAACCAAGTCAAACCGGTACCGTTTTAGCCCAGACTCAACTCTTTTTGTTTACTCCGCTCCTCTAGTACTCCTGAAGCCAGAAGTTTTCACTATATTACTCAATAAATTCCCCATTTTCTTCCCCCTAAACCAAATGGGAATTGATTTATAACTCTCGGGACTAAAAGAGTTCTGAGGCTGGAAAGCGTGGCTGTTCCAAAGGACTCCACAAATGGCTTCCTGTGTGCTTAGGAGTGAGGGCTGAGCGCAGGCCAGGTGTTGCTCCAGAATTCCCATATTTAGAAAGAGCTTAGAGGCTGCAATCAGGTCAGAAGAGATGAGATGAAAGGCTCATTTTGAAGCCATTTACATAAAATTGATTAAATATATACTATTCAGATCAAAGAACAAGAGGAACAAAAGTCTCCTCAGGGTATTCCTTTGATGCTTCCCAGTGAAATTAAGTAAAAAATCAGTCAAGCTGGGCATGATGGCCAGCACTTGTAAGCTGAGGCAGGAGGATTGCTGTGAGTTCAAGGCCAGACAGGGCTCCATAGTTTCCAGAGCACTAAAAGGGTCCCATGCATATCTGACTATCAATGCCTGCAGAGGGAGGCTGACACGGTGAAAAGCGCTCTAGGTTCAAATTCCAGCTCTCTAATTTGCAAAGCAAAATTACCTCAGACTAGTGATTTAAATTCAGGGAAATACAACTCTTTCGGTTAGATAATAAGGAATATCTCACAGCTATTGCAAGGATCTAAAGCATACAAGTCTCCTGGCATATTCTGTACACGTGTGAAAAACTGACCTTCCATCATAGCAGCCACTGATTCAGGCCTGAATCATCAGTAGGTGGTAAAATCATTGGAGGAAAGTTGGAGGCAGGGGAAAGCCATATTTACTGAGGGGCTGCTCTAGAATTAAAGGAGAGCGAAAGAAAAAGCATGACAGTTAAATGTAACGTTTCAGGGCAAATGGGATCCTCCACCAAAAAAATAAATTACTGTGAAGGACATTATTGAGAA